TGAAGCCACAGTGAAGCGATTGAATACTCAAAATGTAAATGAACCACTTGTTTCTGCAGACCAATTTGAAGTCATATAGAGGGGTTAGATGCTCCAAGTACTGTAGAGTGGGAGGGGAGGGTGTATTAGCCTATCTCTGAGGTCACTACATATCGGCATTCCTTGCAGTGGAAAGTTGAGATTTTTAAGAGCAAGGTAGACACGCGGTAAGAGAACCAATTTGGAATTCACTGTCACTACTTGCTTAACCGCCAAAGCTTGCTCATAATCGAGGTGAATGCCTTTGTTTTATTTTGAAGGAGCCAGAATGATATGATAATATGAATACAAAAAGCAATTCATGAAGCACAGGCTGGTAGACACGTACTGAGCAATTCTATCTGCCAAAATTATACCGAATCGAGAGATTATAAGAGAATCCAACAAAATATTACCTTCTCAAAATTCAGTCTTGTTTTCTAGAGCACAACAAAATTAAGTGGTGGATGAGACAAGTACCTCGGGATACGAAGCAGTGAGTGAGTTACCTTAACTACCTGGACGGATTTCAGGACACCAGAGGAAGATTGATTGCCACACAGTGTACTGTAAATTATCGGCTCCCATTGAAGTCTTGGAAGTGGCTGAGTATAGTCTAAATATGAATTACCCAAGTCCGGAGAATAAACGCTCTGGTATGAAAGGGTTTTAACAGTGAACCATTGGGAGGGAGTGTGGGAGGTGGGGAGGGGGGAGGAGGTTAGTTATTTCATGAACACAGATTTAAATGAGGACAAGGAATCAAATTCCAGATATAATTTGACAATGACTTGTTGTTGCATACTTAATGGTCGAAACTTATTTTTCCTTCCAAAAGAATTGGGAACAAATAAAAGTCTTCAGGAGTGACATGTAAAGAGTACATTCACCATTTCTTGAAACTAATGCCTTCAAATGGCACATATATTAAACCACGTGACCATTCAAAATCTCTGCAGATATTTTGCCCAAATTGGAGTATTCGTGGTCTTGAATTCCCTGAACTTTCCAAATTATTGTTATATGTGTAAATTTGAGAAAAGTAGCTGAAGGTGTTCATTTATTCTTTTTATCATCATATTCAAGAGTTTCTTTGTTTGCCATTAGTCATTTGGGAGGTAGTATGAACTCAGTCACTTTATTTTAAACATTGGGGTGGGGGATAGACTTACCTCCTCGTGGTGTACCCTGGGCAACATATACTCATACGACAAAAGTCTATTAACCGGCAGTTGACTTCTGACTTCAAACTACCATCACCCCACTGCATGTCACATTTCACAACTTTCACGGTACTCATTCCACCTTTTCTCTGCCTTTGTGTCCGTCTGTTTCTTTTGCATCTGTGAATCACTCTTCTAATCCCCCACCCGAATTCTCCTCACTTTGATATTCCCCCCCCCCCTTTGTGAAGCCCGAAGTCAACTAAAGGGATAATGATAACTATCAAAACGCCTGCCATTTTGGTATAAATATTTTAATCAGAGTCCTGCAAATCAATTTCGATCCCCTGATGCGATGGTTTTAAAGCAACGCTTTGCAAATAGCAACTCTTTCTACCTGAAAATCGACTTTTGGCATAGCACTGGGATTTTAACCAGAACGAAGGGTCTAAAATTTTCCCAAATTAATAGAGAGGGAGATGGCACTTTCGATGTTTACAACCAGAGGGATATATTTGTAGCAGAGCTCAGATAGTAACTCGCCCACTTCACTCCTGGGAATAAAATCGGGCCTAAATGTGTGGTGGACACAATAGAAGGTGTAAGGCTTCCATAACCACCCCCTCCCCCAAACCTCTGTGGCAAAATACTCCAGCATAAAATTGTTCCGAAATTATCTGAGCTGCAACAATAGTGTCAGGTGATCAGAAATTATTCGGAAAATTGCATCCAATACAAGTTATGGCCAATTGTATGTAATATTCGGCTATTTTCACAGTACTCACCTCACCTGTTTTCTACCTTCGTCTTTGAAACACTCTTCTCTTCCCTCCCCCCCCCCTCTCGACTTTCTTTCACTTTGATGCTCCTTCCCCTCTGTGAAGCCTGAGTTCAACTAAAGGACAGATGATAATCATCAAAATGCTTGCCATTTGATATAAATAAATAAACCTTCCAGTAAGGGGTTGTTGTGAAGTGCAACTTCCTAACACAAATGAACATTCCGGAGGGCGAGGGCGTGCGCTCAGTGGACTTCTCGGCTAATAAGCCAATATTATTCAATTATTATTCATGTTCGCTGTGAGCATAATTTCAATAGACACTATACTCGTTATCCGTTCGTTTCCTTATTTGCCATTGAGATAGATGAATACTCCCGAAAGCCTTTCCACACTAGGGTATTTTGCCATAGTGATTACTGTGGATAAGTCAAGGCTTATCCGCAACAGTGCAAAGTCTTACTTCAGTCTGGCCGGGCTGTGCGATAGACCCACCCCCAGTTGGTACATCCAGAGGAACCTGTACTCAATCGGCATAGTCTATTAACCGGCAGTTGACTTCTTACTTCAAACTTCCATGACCCCACTCTCTGTCATATTCCGCCACTTCCATAGTACTCACCTTACCCCTACTCTCAACCTTTGTGTCTCTCTTACATCTTTGAAGCACTCTACTATTCCCCATCTCCACTTTTTCTCACTTTGATGTTCCTCCCCTTTGTGAAGACCGAACTCAGCCAAAGGGCTAGTGATAACTATCAAAACGCTTGCCGATTGAAATAAATATATAAGTATTGTTTTAGACTCCTAGTCGAGATATTTATTACTGTCTGATCGGGTGACCATATTGGTCGGTTTTCTTTCATAGATAGACAATGTTTGGCTCAAATGCCAATTATCGCCCCGCATGGATAAATTGCTCTAGTGGCAACTTCGGAGAAATTCCGATATGATTGTACTTTTATTGCTAATCGTTGAAATACCTCGACAATCAAGTAAATTTTTGCCTTGCAACGATTGGCAAGGCCAACTGCGAAGTTAGAAGTCGTGGACTCGATGAGCATGCGCACATACTTCCAGAGAACCAGACCTGTTGTGTAAAAGTGTTTAGGGGAGCCCTATCTGAAATGGACATTCACATCAGAGAGACACCAAGAGTGCTAGAAATTCAGTAGAGAAGAAGAAATAGGACATCATAGTAGATGGCATGAAGCCCTTATAATAGCTCGTGAGAACAATAATTATCACGGTATTGACAGTGGGTGTCAGTTCATTTTCACTTTTCGCGAGGATTTCAGATAGACCACTTCAGGATATGACCGATGAGATTTATACGAAAAAAAGACATTTCAATTGAGAGACATATGCATTTTGAAACATAAAGGTAAAAGGGGGATGTAATGCCTTAACGACGAGATTACGTGAACTGATTGATAGCTGGTCAGCGATAAGTAAAGACGCCTCGGCGTGGTAGAAACTTCAACGGACGGCTTCGAGTTCGGTATCTATAAAGACAGATAAGAATATAAGTAACCATGGGATCTTCACTGTGGATGGTTAGTATGGTATACAACTTGCTTCACCGACTCAACGCTGTACTGTAGTGAAACGATATGTTAGATTTGAGCAACAAAGTTATGGAAGAGGAGTGAGCTACCAGGAATGTTAACACTCTCGGTATTCTGTCTTACTGTCTTAAATTAAAGACAAAGTGTATCAGGGAAGTTGATCTTTATGAGCTACCTGTAAGACTATGTGAAACGCATCTTCGCCCAACACAATTTCCCTCTGTACCAAAACCTAGCAAGACTCATTCAATTATTTTTCCGTCCACTAGAATCTCGGCAGATCGGGGCTTTTCAATCCAAATCACAACAGATCAATAGTGAATGCTAACGAATCTTGGATGTTAACGAACATTAGTCATTAATAATCATGATGTTAAAGTGTGCTTGTATTTCGAATTCTGTCACCATTACTAAATACTAAGTGTACGTACTAGTGATAGGATCGAAATATCACATTAAAGAACTGGAATTACTAGTCATAATGGGTATTACTAATCAATAGCAGGGTGGTAGAATAAGAATCTCTGCCAAAAAAAGCTGAAAAATCCCTTTCTCCAGCCTAGAACGAATACTGACTCGGGATTTACTATTCTGAAGGCTCCGACATACGTAATTTTTAAGTATTAATCAGACTCCTATAACAAGCAAGTATAAATAGCTAGCGGTATGAACGTCGAGAGAGTAAAGTAACCACCAATCATTCGACCCTCAGCCGATCTACATCAGACACATTCGAGGACAAGAAATCCCCGCGCTCTACCCCCCCCCCCCCCCCCTCCCAAAAAATCAACCTCTCCCGTGTTACCCCACAGCGGTAAACGTCGAACAGCCCGATGCTCACAAGGATTCATTAATGATGCATCAATAAAAAATGCCTGGATAATTTTTATAAGCATAAGAAAGCGGTGGGGAAGAGCTGAAAAAACCGCAATTCTGAATCGATTGAAGCTTGCTCCATTCGCAAACCGCACAGTTAAGAAGTGCATTAGTCCAATTGGCTTTCGATTTGTGATTTCCATTCATGTTGACTAAATCACTTTATCACGAACATTTAACCACAGTTTTCTTTGTAAACGTTCCAAAATAACCTTCGATTTGGTAACTCGGCCTAAGCCAATGTGGGAAACACACGACGTTGTCATTTCTCTGGGTCAGTATGGCATGACTGGTTTATCATCTGCAGTCGTCTGATCCTAATGTACATATTTATGCGTGTGTATGCTCCTCTCCAGACCAACAAACCACGTCGCTACATCCGCTTTCGCACACTCAATCACTCACTTTCTCTACCTCAATCTTCCCACATTTGTAGTTGCGCATTTAATAAAGCTCTTCAGCCAACGATTTCTCGCAGATTCCGCCATTTGTGTAGTGAAGGCTATAAGAAATTAGAACGCCAAATCAACAAGAACGGCACATTCCCTTATATAATTCGAGATAGCCCAAAAAAGCCCCTATTATCGAGTAAATGATTACCTCACTCCTCCATGTGGACACGAGGGTCCACTCTCTCCAACAGCGTTTGTATTCTCTTCGGAAGAAAGGAAGATTGGCAGACAAGAGGCGATACGAGCCAATTGGCAAGTGAGCAAATTCTCCGGTTTCTTACCACGGAACGCGCATCCGGTTGAAATATTATCAGCACCTGCCTCCTCTCCCGTCCGCCCATCCTCCTGGGGCATCTCACGCCAGTAACAGTTAACTTCAGTCTCCAACTCCTACAAGCAAAATTGTCGAAAAAAAGGAGGAAGCAGTAAAGGGGGTGAAGTTATTGCAGTAGTTCTATAATTATGTACATCTAGTACAGAGCATGTGAACGCATAACGTAAATCAATAGTGTCTTATTTAGAAGCAGTAAGTATAGAAATATTACGTCACAATACACGTTTTACTAATTAAATGGCGCAGCACAATCGAGTTACATAACTGAAACTGCCGCCAAATGAGACTTTTACTTAAAATTTACTGCAAATACTTGCTAATTTAGAAGTCTAGAAATTTTCTTAAACATTATGAAAACAAGCACGGAAAATGAGGACCAGGTGGCTGCAACTATACCAATCAAAAAAGGACAATGATACTTATCTGGAGAGTTTACCTGAATGTGCATGGCATTAAGATCACCTGCAGAAAATGCATCAGTATTGCTAGCTAGGAAAATGACAGACGGATCATCTGGATATGAAGCGGGGATTGATGCTCCGATTGTTAACACATCTACAAATCAGTCAATCATAAGTTAACGAAACAATAAATTTTCACGCAGTGCAAATGTGATGTTTATTAGAAGCAAGCTCACCTTTCCCCTGAAAAGCCATCTGACATTTGAATATAGCATCCGTTGATTGAATCAGGTTTAGAGCAATGAAGGTTTGAGCACGGGGCCAAGTCTGAAAAAAAATATAAAAATGTAAACTACTTGTTATTACATAGTAGCATATATAATAACAAAAGAGAGACTCACCTTAATATCCTCAAAAGTTACTCGATCCCAAGTACTTAAGCCGATATCTTTACTGATAGGAAAGAATGGTTTTTGACTTTCTGAGAGATTCAGAACACCACTCTCAATTGCTTGGATCTGGGAAGAAAAAGGGTAGGATAAATTGCACGTTCACACAGGAGCACTAATTAACATCTCATTGAACCCCAAGTAAACCATCCTGTGCAGTGGAATTCCCAAAAAGTTCTAGTCTAGTTAACTGAAATAAATAAATGCTTGATTTGTGATTCAATTTATTAGAACTTCCGTTAAATGAAATACTAATCTACAATCAGCCTCAAATTTTATCTCCTATATAAAATTTTCCCGGCCGAAACGTTGTTTCAGACCAGCTAAGGATTAAAACAGATATACTAACGCATAGCTTAGTAATCTTTTACTCAGTGACAGCCAATATATACGTGAGGATTGACCTCTAATCAGGTTATTAATCATTTGACCTCCAATTTGCTCAAGAAAAACTCTTTCCCCTCATTAATTAGCTAAAATAATAACACCAAAAGTCAATTTGGCAAAAGGTGTTTATCCCAAGGAGTCTAGATGGAAAGGAACTCGAACCTTGTCATTAACCAAAACTAGTCAATAGAGCTGGATATTCTAGTTACTAGATGAACATCAAAGCCTCGACTTCGCAAACGCAAATATATTCAAGTCCCTTTTAGTCTTATCCTGCATCATGGAGAGTGACTCGCGAACACAAACCGCTACCAATTCAAAAGACTTTCGTAAGTGATTTCATGAATCATACGCATTCATATTTCCGTGCGTTCCCAACACTTCAACACAAACTTACGGATACATTTTAGTTCCCTTTCTCCTGCAATTGAGCTTGACCTCTGTTTAACTAATGATTCTTCCTTGATATACTCATACACACCCAGACTATTAGCTACGAGACGAGGGTTTGATTTGAACTTCCCTGACCAAATCACATTATCGGACGCTTATCGATCTTAATTTCTTTGAAATTCGCCAATTTAAAAAGGTGGCTTCTTTATCCGATTCACTTAACCCTGACAACTCCCACCTCATCAATATATATATTAATAGACCTGCCTCAGCATTAAGGGACAATCTAGACTCTAAACGTCTACTTAGAGCAGTAAACCAAATATCCACAAATCCGAAGGGCGCCGTGCAGGGAGTATTCGCCCTCATCTTCGATGGTGAAGCAATGGTATCTGTTGGTGATTCCAGATGGGGTAGACACTGCAGACCACCCAACTGTTGTGCCCATGCATAGGATTTCCCGCTGGAAGCATCTTTATAGCCAATTCCAAGTACAGTTTCTTCACCTTGCCAACGTGCTCCTTCCGTATCACATTGTAGATGGGAAAATAGAGCACTAGATGAAAGGAGATCTCTAAAATGGAAGGAAAAAACGTGTTGAATTGTAATATTGGAGAGTCAGTAGAAAAATGAAGACCAAAATATTTTAATGATCAACCGACTGAATACAATCAAAATCAAGTATTTGTTAGAAACAAAGCCTATTTTATGACCAGAAGGAATAGTCTGCCAGTCATAAGCCAGTGGATTCTTGAACCGATGCAAGTCAATTAATAACCCAGAGAGGGAATAACTCATATCTCAGGAAACACATCTTACTTCCAATTAGAGAAATGAACAGATGTATAAAAAGTAATGCGCGCCAATCCTAGTTCTGAATTGGTTTTGTGCCTATGATGCAGCGCAAGCCTGCAAAATCAGAGATCTTGAAGAAGGAATGACCGCTGATTGATATCTGCATACCACTAAGTGGTGGCAAAGTGAACTTTTAGGAAACCTTTTCTGACGAAGACAATTGATGGAAGATACCTGCCTCAAAGGAATGGAAGGATCTGTTTGTAAAAATATCCATAAATAAATATCTATTCAAAAAAATAAAGACTCTAACCGAATGTATTAAATCTACTCAACAGAATTCGTCGAATTCTACTATGTTAAGTTTAGGTGACTCGTAACATCCTAAAAATTTCATAATTTTTAAAAAACAAAATGAAGCAGCTGTGAATCGCGGGCTAATGATAGCCATTAACTCCTGCCTTGGTAAATTATGCGTGGATGCCTCATTCAACAACCACATGAATGGAAAAACGACTGATGAAACGCGGTGCCACGAAGGTGTAGACAAATATATCAACTTTAAATCTTGAGAGGCAATATCTGCAACTCCCTCGCAAGCGATGAGAACCGGAATTCTCACGTCGTTACAGTCTTATGAGCAGGGCACCAACAATCGCTATTTGGATTAAGAAGAAATCGATAAAGGCACCCCCCCCCCTTGTCTAAATCATATCTTTGTTGTGAACTTTTCAGTTAGTCGGCATAATCAAACATTCTAATGGGAGTTCCCTATTCAAAGATCCAAAGAGGTCATTTTATATATACAACCAATAAACGTAAGAAGTACTTTTCCTAATGATTTTAGAAATAAATCAATAAATCTTGGAAAGGTAATTATTTCAAAACACAAAGCTCCTTCAACATTATTTAAACAAATATTAAATAACTCAATAAATATTCTTGAAATTTCTTTATTTTTTACCCAAATCAATCACCAAGCTCTCAGGTGAATTCCACAATTTATTTACATTCAATTTTCTAAATATGCCCCATTGTTGTCTAGAAACTTTTGTAATCTATATTCCCTCATGGTAGAATCTTGGGGGCTGCGCCTGGCACCAAGAAATAACATGCTTTTCGATTCACCTAAGGACGTAAATCGAGTGCCCTCAAGGTGTTCCTTCAGTTTTAAAAACAAAAAAAAGATCTGAGGGAACTAGATTTGGACCATAAGGAGGATGTAGAAACGTGTCTCATCGGCAATTCTTCAAGAATGTGCAGAGGCAATGTCATGCTTAAACAATATTTTACTGTGCCGTTTCCCGCGCTGTTTTCGTTTGAGAGAGATGTCTTTAACTTCTTAAAAACGCCTTCATAATAACTCAAGGTGACCCTTTTTCTGACCATGAAGGTTAACAATATCACTCCTTTTGAAACCGAAAACAGTGGCCATAAACTTCTTAACTCACCTTTGGATTACTTTTTGTTCCTGCGACGATTGGTCAAGCCAAGATTTTCAGTAAGAATCGAAAATGTTCAACTGTATACAAATCCTACTTCATTCGCAATTTCCTCAATGGTAACTCGTCCGTCTTGTTCCTGTGCTAGATTCTGCACAAGAGAGATGTTTTCTTGATTTCTTACAGTGTTGAATCTTCCTCCCAGTGTTACATCGAGTTACACTCTTCCCTTTTTAAAGCGTTTGAGTAAATCATAAATGACTACTCTGCATGGCGCAATATCCGCATAAATCTGTTGTAAATCTCCCATTATCTGAGCATGTTTCCAATTAGTTTAGTTAAAAAATTATGTTAGCTCTGATCTCAAAATTTGTCATTTGAGGAATTGAAAATTGCTAGCTATTTTGGGATCCAACCTGTCTTAATTCTGACCTTATATTGAAAGACCGGACAGTTGTATGTTATTAAGGAGGCTCTACAGACATGCTTGAACTTGTAAAGACTTGTAAATCTTTGTTCTATTCAAAGTTATGGCATTTTGACGCACCCTCGTATAAGATTAGACTCAATGTTTAAACATGGGTAGAATATGAGAGTAACTAAACACAACTCTCAGCGAATTTGATTTTTAGCGATCTCTAAATCGACAGTGATGACACATACCTTGCAGTTTGTGAAAGGGTGCAAAGTTTTTCCAGATCATGAAATTCATCCCTCACAGAGACAAGTTTAGCTCTCATCATCCACTCGAAGGTGAGCGTCAGCTTCACATTAGACCACTTCGCGTCTGGTCCTATAAAAGCCAAATAAGCGCATCGTCATACAATTGTCAATCTTGTGACTGACACTTTGAAAGGAGAGAGACATGCGCTACCAGTTGACATACCTGTTGTAATGTGAACTACAACTGAGAGAGGATGGGTTGTGTCAGTCTTGTGATGAGACCGTTCCTCCTCTTCTCGGTGAGGTCGTTTGGATTTCCGGTGAGATTTTTTCTGCAAAGTGATAAGGTAGGAAAAAAAGAGATGCAAGTTCAAATATTATATTCATAATTTACTTCAACAAATACAGTCATTTGGGTTAAACTGTATTACTACGGATTGAGCATTATAACGTTTAATCTGTCTTCTTATCTTCCACCACATGACTGTAGAAAGTTACAAATAAAACAATGCGGTATGATTGGCTTAAACCAAAAGGTCAACGAGTCCTTATTATCGAGAATATGGAATTTGAGCTTATGAGGGTAAACAATTTAATGCTTTCAGAATTTGGATAAGATATAATTTTTGATGCTCCAAGTTTCATCACATAACCAACGACCCCTATTTGACTCGCAATTTCATCCCTACATCGATATTTTACTTGTAAAGCTGTAACCGCTTAGATAAAACTTGTAAAAGTATTGCATTGCCATCGGTGATAATTTAATGACTTAATGCACCAGAAAAGAAGAATCAAGTGGCCATTGAGGGACTAAAATGAGCCAAATTTGAATTAAATCAACTATCAGTGCGAATTCTAATCAACTGAAGGTGAAGGAAAGAAATGAAGCCGATTCGCATGAAGAGACGATTTTTAAATAAACCCATAAGAGAACATTAATTGCCTCAAACAAAGTTTAGCGGCAAATAAGAGTATTCGATTGAAATACAACGCATACAAGCTATTTGTTGAGAATTCTGCTAGGAATGAATAGCACAACTTGAAGGTAAAAAAAGTAATCATTTAGTCCCTTCAACAATTCAAATCAGAAATGAAAGTAAAAAAAGGTTAAAACATAGTGATTGACTAAAAATTAAGAAGACTAAGCCTATCAGAAATGTAAAATAAGACAAAATCATTATAAAGGTTAAACCATTTTGGATTCCAACATAGCAAACCGGATATTATCGTTAGCCAGCAAATGTGATCGTCTCATTAAGCAATTGAATGAACGAGGAGGAGAATAGGAGCTAATCATAAGCAATTCTATTATGACGGACAAATTATAGATGAACTAACAATCGCTACTTCATAGCTTTACAGTAAAAAAATGGCATCAGATAATCACAGTGAAGTAAGAAACCCAATTCAAATTGACAAAAATATCGCGGAAAAAAAACAATGCAAAAAAAATTAATTAAACCTTAACACGCTCGTTTAGTATTCTCAGTTGGTGTTTTTCAAAGGATTGCTTTACTATTATACTTATCTTGTACATATATATATGGAAATGGAAAACTTACTCGGTTGATTATACAAGTATCCTGTTCATCGGGCCCTGAAGATCCCGCTTCCATTTCCTCTTGATTTGTTGCGGATGACGTATTCACTGATCGAGCCAAATCCAAATCTCCAATAATCTTCACCGACACCTCACAATGTAAATCTGTGCGGTAGAAACGGCATATATTTGAGATTGAAAAAAGGCGAAATGATTAGATAGAATTTAAAAAAAAATTACTTTTGACATCGATAAAGGCAACCATTCTTGAGTAGATTATATACAAAGGCGATGGGAGAGCAAAAGCTGATTGAAGGGTTTCTTCGTTTTCGATGATGTTTAAACCCAAATCGGAATCCAGGAACTTGGTTGACTGGAGAAAGTTATTACGTTATCGGGCAAAAGACAGCGTACCTCTATAATGCTACGCAAATTCCCATTCATGCCTTCAAGATACGTCTGTTTTGAGGCAATCTTTTCTCTGATTTCAGACAAGGACTTGGACAAGACTTTAAGATTTCCATTTAACCTAAAAATAGCCGAATATGATATGTAATTCGGCGAACTTTTTCCTTTGTTCCAGCTCCCAATAGAGGCGATTGAGAGTTTGCTGATGTTCTGTTTCATTTGGATCAGCATCACATACCGTTTCAATATATTCTTCTTTGGGAATGAGATCAATCTCCTCATGAAGAGAACTAAAGAATGAAAAATCAACCAACTGGTTACCGAAACTCCAAGCAGGTGCGGGCAGACTGCTTTAAATGTTCTAATTCATAAAGGAGATTCTGAAGTTGCCGAGTCTTCTGATCAACAGCTAGCTTTTTCTAAAGATTAACAATAAAATTTAAGCAAATAGAAAACCTGAAAAGTTTTATCTCGCATATCCTTTATTCTAAGCTGCGTTCGACGATTTATAGCTTTAAGAGAAATGATGCGCTTGGCAACAGCACTGCCTGATAACTATAATGCAATTACATAACCACCAAATAAATATACTGCTTGTTTCGATTTCCTATGTTGCCAAGCTCTTTGTATTGTATCTTTAAGGAGAGAGCATTCCTGCTTGAAAGATTTTAAATCTATCTGTCCATCACTTGCTAAGTCCTTCAACTTTTCGTTATCTTCCATAACTCGTGCAAATACGCGCTCCTATGGGATAGCAGATGATTTGCCAAGGGTACGAAATTAACGAAAAAATGCATTTTGTGTATTATTAAAGTTGATAAAAATATTTTATATGGATGATGATTTTGTCTCTTTCTTAAATTGTGTTGTCTTATTTTAATCATTGAAATGTATAACTGATGACTACGGACAAATATTTTTTGATTAAATACTAATGACAAGTGTCGTTTTCGCTCAATATTTAACGATCTTTTGCATTTAAATCAGTCGATAAAACTAAAAATACTAATAGATGTGCAACTCTTAATAAAAAATTATTATTATTACTTCAAATGGCAAGCTTGGTAAATAAATTAGAATTTATATAAAGTTAAAGTCTCTTGGTTAATCTTTGGACATAAGAAAAATTTTCATTCGTTTATTATAAATGACTGCCTCGGGCTATATCTAAACCTTATAGTTAATATTTATCCTAATAAATCTCTTCCTGATCATTTGTGTCTGAAAATTGAACAACCATTGGATAGCCCATAGGATTACTTTCCTTTTCTGACTAGAGTAGTTATATTGATTTCATGGTGGCAAACACTCAAAGGCCACCTGAACTCCACGAACCTAAGTTTAGTGTTTTCTATAAAACACTAAAAATCAGCCATTTTGTGACAATTTATTCTAAACCTCTTTGTATTTGCAAATCGTAATAATTGGGACAATCCAGAATTTAATGTTTAAATTCAGCCTATAGATGCGTATTTCACATTATCATACAAACCACTAGAGTCATAAAATTTTAAACTGATCACCCACCAAAGTGCATAGTTGAAAACCAGTTAAGTTAAACCATTTGAAACGGAGAACAGTTCAGATTTCAAAATCTATTTAAGCTGCCAAGATTAGCTATTCGAGATTGAAAGCTTTCAAAATGTCTTATGTAAATAAAATAGATAAAAATGGCGTCTACTCGTGCAGAAAATATGAAATCGTGATTTCAGTCATGTAAATTTTTTTCCAAAGGGAACTCAGTCGAGTTGGATCGGAAGAAAAAAGAGCGAATAATATTCATTCATTTATTTCAAATGGCAGGCATTTTGATAGTTATCATTA